TGCGCAACAGTGAAATCCCAAAATCCCCAACCTAGTCCGGGCACTGCACTCCGCATCAATCAGTCTGGCTCTAGAGCCACGCTAGCACGGCGCTGACACACAGGCAACTCTGGACAGCCAACTCCGTTGAGAAGGACTTGAGACAAATGATCTGAATGAATTTTCCTGAATTTATGGAATTAATTTACTTTAGCGGCTTCATTAGATGGGCCAGAATCTCGTGAGTGTGCGATGATGTTGCTAAAATCTGGTGGACAACCGGATGTTGCACAAGAAGATGGAGAGACTTGCCTTCACATTGCAGCCCGAAACGGCAATAAGGACATCATCAAGTTCCGCAGTCCTAAATTGCTAGTATATATGCAGTTTTTGAAACACTCACTTGCAGATTGCTCCTAAATGACAATGCCAGTTTGAAACTGGTTTCGAAAGCTGGTGAGACTCCCTTGCACGTGGCTGCCCAGTCCTGCAATTACGAAGCTGCACAAATGATTATCTCCCATATGGCACAAAGTTGTTCGCCAGAAGAGATTCGAGACTATGTGAATCAAAGAACGAAGGTGAGCAACAAAATCTGGGTAGTCAGCAGACCAAAAAAGAATCAAGAAAAGAAATGGGTTTCAACTTTATCAACATATCGAATAAACCTCGCGGGCGAAGTTCTACCCTTTGGTTGAGCGGAATTGGCGGATGGAAGGCGGGGCTCCGAGGCTCAGTCAAGGCTAGAGAATGGTCGGAGAGCACGCTCGCGATAGAGACGCAGACTGCGTCGTTGCCTTCCAGCCGCCAACTCCGTTCAAAAGGGAGCTAGGTGAAACTTTCAAAAACTTCTTGCGCTGCCCTAAGCGGATCAGATGACTACAGGATGGACGTCTCTAGTTGAAAACAAATGCTTTCCTTTCAGGACGGTTTCACAGCGGTTCACTACGCTGCTCAGATAACATCGGATAAAGTCCATTACCCCGGAGAAGATGCAAAACTCATGAATCTGCTTGTCGACTCTGGAGGACAAGTACGTGCTGGACCATGATTCTAACCATCTTCTCGGGTCTTTATTTACTTGATTCACTTGATGTTTAGGTGGACTTGCAATCCATCAGCACCGATGAAACTGCTATGCATATGGCAGCTCGATCTGGTAATCAAGCTGTTCTCCTAGCTATGGTGAACAAAATTGGAGCTGGAACGGTACAGATTGTGCAGAATCGGCAGAATAAGGTAAGCAGTTGTCAGAGGTATCGTTGATT